TATAACAATATAACATAATTTAATACCTTTCATAAAGAAATTAAAAATTAAATCACCAATATATTAACAAAAAAATAATATTTTAAGTCAGTATTTTAATCATAAGTTATTTTTATCTTATGAGAACGACATTTTTTTCACCCCTTTCATAAATAAATTATTTATTTTGGTTTAGTAATTATCGGCATATTATTATAATAAAAACATATATATTATACGATAATAAATATATTATATAAAACTATGTTTAATTTTTAAGGGATTTATTGATTCYGGCGAAATTACCTGCTTAGGAAAAAMGTTTATATTGATTTCGCCGAACACTGTTCATCCCCCCCGCCACCAATTGTATGTCTATTTTAAAATGTATAAATGTAACTAATTTTGACCAAATTTTATAATACTTTCATAAAATTTGGTCACATGTCTAAATTGAATAAAACTATAATAATTATATAATTCAAAATGAAAATGCATAATCTAATTAATATGTGAATATATTATAAAATGTATAATCCAAATTTTATAAAATTATAATAATTATATAGTTTAAAATAAAAATAWACAAATGTTACTACTTTTGATCAAATTTGGTCACATGTCTAAATTGAATAAACTGATAGTAAYAAAATTAAAATGTATATAACTTATATAAGTAACTACTTTTGATAATATTTGGTCCCGTATTTTAAATAAGTGAACTTAGAAACTTTCTAATTAGACTATACGTTTTAAAATACATATACAATGGGAAGGGGTGATRAACAGTGTCCGGGAGAACCGATGTGTAGATATTATAAACAGTAGCCGGCGGGATCAATAGCCGGCGGAGTCGATATAAAATCGGTGGAATCGATATACGCCCCATTTTTACACTAACAATATGATAGGAAGGTATACTAATAATTATGTAGCTAATAATTTCTAATAAATTAATTCATACAAGTAGGTGTTCACTTATTTTATATGATATTTTAAATAATTTAGACTTGCGTCCAATTATTACCAAATATGTAATAAGATAAATTAAAAAAAAAAAATTAATTTATAGGTCAAGCCCATATAACGACGTAAAAAAACATGAYAGGAAAGATAAATTAATCAAAACTTCACCATTTTTAATGGCTGGTGCTTGTGAGTTCTTTGATAAAAATCCATATTTTAGTAATGATCAAAAGCCAACGTACAAAAAAATCACAAATATCAAGTTTAAAGGACCACCATTTGTACCATCTTCAGCAATAAATCACGTGAGTAATATTTCACGTCCCTATATATATATATATATATATATATACATAATGGTTATTTAATATTTATTTTGCAATTTTGTAAACATTATAAACTTGGTTATTGGGGGTGTAGTGACCAGGCGGATTTAGGCGTCGGTTGCAACGAACATGGTAACCATCGAATCCCGGTGTAACCGCGAATATTTACCTCAGTGGGGTAAAATATCACTAGCTATTATTTACCCCCGGTAAAATATCACTAGTGATTATTTGCCCCKGGTAAAATTTCACTAGGTTATTTTACCCCTCCACAGGTAAAATTTCACTAGTTATTATTTACTCCAATAAAATTTCACCAGTGTTATTTTCACTAGCGAAGATTTATCTCAGGGTAAAAATCCACTAGATTTAATAAAATATTATTTATTTGAAAATAATAAGTTTGGTTTAGGTATTTATTATGTGTTTGAATTCTTCATCTAATATCACCCTCTTTATAGCGGATACCTCCAAATAATGGACGAAATTTTGGAGACCGAGAGTGTCCGGTATTTAGAGGTTATTTATTGTATACTTATTGTACTGAACAGTAAGTTGGGTCCGCTGTATTTCTTATCAAATAAATAAGTTGGTTATATATTACGGTGATCGCCCTTAAATGGACACCTCTCAATAGCGGACACCTCCAAATAATGGTCGACATTTTGAATACGACGACACGTGTACTGATTTTATTTCCCCTCTTAATAGCGGACAAATGTTTTGGTGACCGAGAGTGTAAGGTATTTTTAGAGGTTTCAATGAATAGATTTTACTTTAAATGTTATAAAATGTCTCATTCCCACCCAAAAACCATTTATTTAACAGGCCCATTATCATTATAAATGTACTAAATATATGGGTGTATTTACTATTTATGTTATATTATATCATTATGCATGAACCTAGAAATAATATTATCATTTATTACAAAATACACATGGGTACTGTCTTGATTGAAATTCTGAATAATACGAAAATCAGCTAATAGTAAACCTATAAGACAATAACACATAATGTTATCATTTGACAAGTTGACATTCGGGTAGTCTGGTCGTCTTATGAGTCGCAAACTCCACAATAGGCAAAAAAGTAATACATATGTATAGTAGTATAGTACACTATAGTACAAAGGTATTTACGACAGATGCTGATTCAAATAGGTAGATTTTTTTGAATATTACTTTATTCTGTTTTTATTTTTTTCCGGCCAAATGATGTAACATCTATTTTGTTGGAGTGCAATGTTTTTAAATTATAACATGTAACATTATAATTAATTATTTAGCATTTTAACTACATGCAATAATTTTTTTGTCTGCACTTAAATCCCAATGACCTATGTTGCAAAGGGTATATGTACAATTTAAAAAAATATAATAATAATATTTTTGATAGTATAGATTTTAAGATAAAAAGGGATTATTATTACTATTTATGAATCTCTGAATAAAAGTCCGGCGAAAAAAACATAACGATATGATATGATATTTTGTTAGATCTTTTTATCATTTATTTTGTTTCAAACAGTTTGTATACTACCTAATACCTATACCTAATTGTATAAATACTATATTACCTAAATAATTATTATCTATTAAATACAAATTTAAAATAACATTTTACTTTAAAGATACAAGAATATTTCTAAATGTCRTGTTAGTGAACCCAAAAATATAGGTACCTATAGCCACTAATATTGACCATACATTGTAATGTATTACTTCTTGAACAAATTATACCATTTTGGCGTCTAGTTGAACAAAAAGTCCTGATTCATTTTTTTAATGTCGGACAAAAAGTCGGAGCACATTTTTATTGAAATATATAATTAATAAATGTATGATTTAAAATGTCCWAAAATACAAAATATTTTATTTGAATTTGATGATTATCCTTTAAATATAATGAGGCATCCTCTCCTCCTCACATAATTGGTCTTTACCGAATTATTTTTGTTAACAAAGTATATGAATATCTTTAAAATAAACTAATTCCATACGATAATTAAAATTTTAAAATTTGGGGCGTTTCCTGGCTCCCCTAAAATAATTGATTTTTAATCCTCAATGGATTTTATGTATATGTAAATGAAATAAGTATCATCATCAAACATTCCAAATGAAAGCTGAAGAAAAGAATTAGTAAAATGTATTTGGGTTTTTTATGGGGTGGTGTAGGGGTGGCTGGGGAAATGGACCTTATTYYTAGTTAAGTTAACGTAAAATATTAATTTWTATAAMAACATTTTAATAGCGTAAATTTATGAATTTGATCTAGTGGAATTTTTACCGGGAGGTAAATATTCACTAGTGAAATTTTACAGGTGATTAATTATCTTTGTTCAATATTCGCTAGTTATATTTTACCCCCGGTAAAATTTTGCTAGCGTTATTTAACCCTGCCGGGGATATTTACCTCCAGTAAAATTTAACTGGGTCAAGATACACGGTTCCACCGGTCATGGGCGGCATTGCTTACCGGGCAGTTAATTCTGTCTGAAGAGAGAAGCCTCTGCCCCCTACTCAGGCATGGCAGWAACCTACGGGTGCTCAATTCAAAATTCTACCAAAAAACACACATATGTACCAACAAACCTACTCAACCCAAAAACTAACAGTACCTTTCCCATACCCAATAGTCTATTTTGCCGCGGGTTAATTAATACGAAATAAAAAAACTTGTTAGTTATTATTCTATTACATAAAATGTGAAAATTAACTAACTTGTACATATATAATCTAGGGCTGGGATTTCGATGCACTTTGCRTTATTTTCCAAAACTTACTGTGCGATGCTCGTATGATCACGAATTTGTTTTATGTTTCTATGAATGAGTATAAGAAAGTTTATTTTSCATTTTTTGAGTTTTTGGAAACCAAGTATAAGTTTTAAATTTTATTTTAAGATTTTAACACCAACAGGGGTTTTATATAAATATATCAGATAATAAGTAGGTAGGTATTCGTAATTCGTATTATATTGTTTGGACAAGATTTGAGTAACCACTACCCGCATTTCCTGTTAAAATAAATTATCTTAAATAGGTTAAATCAACATCAAATGATATCGTTCGACATTCAGAGCATTTTTCCGGGTTTTTTAAGGCATTGAAATTCCAGCCTTAATAATCACATATCATTTATTGTATTATGTTTTTATGCTTATACTTATTTGTTGTTTATGAAACAAGATACATATAAGTTTTACATATCTTACCTTTATGACGTTGACTTTTGTCTCTACTACAATATATTCATATTTATTTTTCTTATTTCTTATGTTAAGAATAAAACAATTAGATATTAAAAAGTCTTAACTTACCTTATCAATTTAAAAAWAATATTTCATATTAATACTCAAAGTTAGTTTAGTTTTCCTAAACTCAGAAAAACAATTCGTGTTGGAGGAATAAAAAACGTCTTGTTTTAACTGAACTTAACTCAAAATAATCTTAGATGATCAGCATCAATCTATTATTCAGAATGTTTGAGTATGATATCAAATAATAATAATAATAAAATGTGATT